GATGGATCCATGAGCAGTTACAAGTTGTGAACAGTCTTTCAGGGGGAGTTTAACGTTTTGTCTGGATTCAGTTTGTTTGCTTTTCCTCATCCAGTCCATTACCATTTCCAGGCATGCAGAGGAGACATGCTATCCTTAGCTAAGGCTGCTTTTGAAGACATTGGAGAAATATATTTAGGTACCATCAGCATACTGATAAGACCCCTCCCTGTGCCTCTGGATAATCTTTCCCAGCGGATTCATGTAAACATTAAAAAGTATTGGAGATAAAATGGCACCTTGTGGGGTGCCACCTAGCAGCTTTGACACTCATAATTTTGTAACTTCAGAGGTGGTGTTCAACTCCTGCAATAGCTCATTCCATTTGAAAGAAGAGAGGGAAACAACACAGTGATCATGAAGCAGTGTGCTACACTTCCAATGTTAAAAACCTCTAGATTATGCTTACTTACCGCATACTCAGCAACTCAGAGTGGTAATCTGTGGATTGGTATTGGTCCATGAGTCATTGCCTGCTGCTATTCCCTGAAGAATTTCTAGGAAATAAATTGCTGTAGCAAATGAGCACAAATATGGTCCTTGGCACGTTAGTGGTAAAGATACACCCATTCCTGAAATCAGGCAGATTGTGAAGTACTGAGCTGACCTATAACTCTGTCACAGGAAAGTATGCCACATGGGCTGCAAGCAGCGCTCCTAGTGCTTTTTGAGATCCCCAAAACTTTCACCCATTTTTTTTTAAAACCATTCTGGCTTTGGGGGCCATTAAATGGATGGGATCCTTAAAGTGACTGGATTGACCTTGAAGGAGCTGGGGGTGGTGACAGCCGACAGGGAGTTCTGGCGTGGAATGGTCCATGAAGGAAAATGCTAGTAACAATGGTGATTGTTGTTCATTCGTTCAGTCGTTTCCGACTCTTCGTGACTTCATGGACCAGTCCACACCAGAACTCCCTATCGGATGTCACCACCCCCAGCTCCTTCAAGGTCAATCCAGTCACGTCAAGGATCCCATCCATCCATCTTGCCCTTGGTCGGCCCCTCTTCCTTTTTCCTTCCATTTTCCCCAGCATCTTTGTCTTCTCTAAGCTTTCCTTTCTTCTCGTGATGTGGCCAAAGTACTTCATGTTGGCCTTTACTATTCTTCCCTCCAATGAGCAGTCAGGCTTTATTTCTTGAAGTATGGACTGGTTTGATCTTCTCGCTGTCCAAGGCAGTCTCAGAACATTTTCATATCTCAAAACATATCACATTGATAATATAAACCAAGACATCAACTAGAGTTGTTGAGGGTAGAATAAATTTCCCAAAACACACATATTCATAAACAGATTATATTCATATTAACAAGAAATTAAAACAGAAAGTTAGGTTAGGCTATTCACCAATAGAAAGTTTATTTATTTATTTATTTGCTTTATTTCTATACCGCATATTTCAGCCCAGACAGGTGACTCAATGCGGGAAAGGACTGGAAAATGAAAAGATGGCAATCAACAAAATCCCCAACTCTCACCAGAGTTATTTCAGTAATCCACTACTTACAGCTGCATCTAACAAACATACAAAGGGATTCATGAGACAACAGAGTAAATAATTGCAGTGATTTTACACAAGCTTTTCCTATAAGTATTGGTATTTGAGGATATTGGTGACATTTGTGTCCCAGACATTTGCACATGTGAGCTGTCAGTGAACAAACCCCAGTTCCTCTAGCCCAGTAGTTCTCAACTTTTGGGTGTTTTGGCCTACAACTCCCAGAAATCCCAGCCAGTTCACCAGCTGATTTCTGAGAGTTGAAGGCCAAAACATCTGGGGACTCACAGGTTGAGAACCACTGCTTTAGTCCTTTTTCAGTTCACACTGCCTTAATATTTTCCTTATGACTATCTGCCTTTTCTATATATATACTGTATATATGTTTGCTAGATCTCTTGCTCTATTCTAGTCAGTTTGGGCTGTATATTTTCACTGCAGAATCAAATTGGATCAACCCATTCATTTCAGAATCACTATACATTGATTGGCAAGATCCCAGTTTACTTTGGCACATGGAATCTGAATACATACCCAACAGTTTGCAAACTGTCACCTTTGGACCAGGGGTTCTCAAACCTTTTCAGCCACAGAACCCTTTTTGAAGCAAAAGTTTTTCATGGAGACCCAAGAAATGTGTTATATGTGTTATATATGTGCGTGTGTGTGTGTGTGTGTGTGTGTATCGGGCATGGACAAACTTTTGAAGAACAATTTTAGCCAACATAAACTTAATAGTATTTCAGTGAAATACCCCAGAAGTCATCCCGTCCAACTCCCTTATGCCATTCAGGGAAAGCACAATTAAAGCACCCCCAGAGCAGTCAGAGGAAAATAGGATTTTGGAAGGATAGAAGGCAAGCATAGAAAGTGAGGCTTTTCGTGGCAGGGGAGGTGGGGGGAGGGGCAGGAAAGAGGATGAAAAGTTTGGAGAAGGGAAGAGTAGGAGAGAAGTGTGGAGCCCCTCAGTATGCTCCCGCAGAGCCCCAAGGGGCTCCACTGAGCACACTTCGAGAACTGCTGCATTTCTCATAATTTCTGTTTTATCGTTAAAAGCTACTGAGCAAAAACTGACAAGCTAGGTGTAGTAATCTAAATGCAAAGGCAACACTTCTGGTATGCACAAAAGAGCATCCTGTCCCCTTTTCATCAATTTGAGGAACTCTTGGAAACACATAATCGAAACAGACAAAAAACTAGAAACAATTTATGTCCTAAAGGAATCCACTTTGCCATCAATGTTTTAGTTGTTTGTGAGTCTTGAGTGGTTACATCCAATCTACACAGTTCATCTTCAGTTTTGGCATTTGAGTGCTTTTAGACAGCTACTTTGTCTGATCTCAGCAATCTGTTGATGAAAAACTGTATTTGTTGACTACTTTTTCCAGCCTTGTAACCCATGAGTTTTTCTGTTCATGTTTGTGTGGCCAGAGCCTCTTCTCTATTAAAATGGGTCTTGACATTGATTCCTGTTATCTGCTCCTCTGACATCTTTCAAGAAGAAGTAATAAGGATAGGACTTCCATATATGTTTCTTCTATATTTCCCAGTTCCCTCCCTCCCTCCCTCCCTCCCTCCCTCCCTCCAGATTATCTCATCCCTCCTTCCCTCATAAACAAGCACATAACTGCACACCACATCTGACTGACTTCTATGTTCTCTTTCTCTTTGTTCATATCTATCTTCTTATTCCTTAGACATGCCTCCAGTAATCTGTTTTACTTTTATTTTGTTTTCTCCTTTAAAAAAAACTATTTTAAAGAAAAGCTCTGAGTATCCGTTTCTTTTACCCTGGTGATACTCTGTTACCTGCACACTGTGTTACTTAAACTTAAGTTCCTAACATTATTCATGTTATATTCCATTGTGTTTTGGTAAAACATATTTGAGCTTCTGAGTACTAGATGTACTGGGCTGGCAGCCTTTTCCAGCAGAGTAGAACTAAGACTACAAAAATAAGAGTTTCCCTTAGAATGAATTCCCCTAGTCATTCATGTTTCTGAAGGGTTTATTCCCTTAACATGGAAAAGTAGATTCAGATTTGTATAGAGATGTGGGTTTCAAACAAGCCTGATAATAGTGTAGTAGTATAAATTAGACCCAGAGGGAGAATTGAAATGATTGGGCAACAGTGGCAAGAGTGAAGTAGACCCACTGAGCTTATCTTGCCAAATGCCAACTCTAGAGACTGATCAGCACAGTATGATCATAAAACTGTTGGCTTTATTAAAAGACTTAAAATGATCTGCCAAAGCTTGCAGATTAGTGGGAATACTTTTATGGAACGCTGTACACGTGCTGCCCGGTGCTATTATATTTATAGTCTAATATATGGAAGAACCCCTATTAAACAAAAATACAAAATAAATTGACAGGACAATTTTTCAAATGTTAGAATATTTTATGTTTGTAGATTAAATTAGTCACCAAAGGGTAGTGAAATTATATTTTTTCTGTAAATTTACCTTTTTATGTAATATAAATCTGCAGCTTCAATTTAGGCATACCTATTTCTTGACAGATCAAAATCTTGTTTCTGTGCATAGTGAGGTCAGCATTGTGTTTCGAATAGCAATACTCTGATGACTGTGTATATAAATTCACAGCTGTACCTTTATACCTTTATAATGAGCTGGAAACACAAGTCAATTTCTGAGTGAATAAATGTTTACATACCAAATTGCCTCTGCTCAGGGGTTGTCTTGTTTGTAACCTCATAAGAGAGGCCAAAGGTTAGGTGTTCACAGCAAATGAACAACCACTTCACTCCAGTCACAGACCTGAGCAAGGCACCTTGACATAGGTGACTTGAGCAAAGCTTTTTCATGCCATTCTGCTCTCATTCCCCCCGTGGATTAGCTGCATTCCAGAATCATTAAAGAGCAGTCAAATCAGCACTTTTTAGCACAGGAAGGACTAATTTCAGTGGCAGGAAAATAGGTTTAAAAGCTTATTAAAAGCTGTGTTTGTCTCTATTTTTAGTGGCACAACTATTTCTAGCAGTAGCAGAAATCATTTAGATTGAAGCTAGAGGTTTAAATCACAAAACCTTAGGAAAAAAACAAGATCAATACACAAATCCTGTCAGTCTCGGCCAAATTACTGGGCTGCCTTAGCAGGTAGCTTATATGTGCTTTCTGCGGCAAATGGAAGAACCGTTTTCATCCTAGTAATGCTTTTCTTTTCTTTTTCTTTTTTTTTCTTTTTTTGAAGTTCAATAGAAGGTCAACAACTAATGCAGAATCCGCACCTGCCTGATGTGAAAAAAAAGTCACAGTAATGCTAGCCAACATGCAGGATGTGCATGATAACTATTTATTATTCACCCTGTATCCAGAGTTGTACTTGGATGAACTTCTTTCCCTTAACCCAATGGACAAGATTAATCTTGTATTTCTAACGTGTGAAATTTTAACACATGCATAGTTTGATGAACTTATTATTGCTCTTCACAATTTTTTTAGGAACCTCGGTGGTGCAAGTGACAGCAACGGATGCAGATGACCCTACATATGGCAACAGTGCCAGAGTGGTTTACAGCATTCTTCAAGGGCAGCCTTACTTTTCTGTAGAACCCAAAACAGGTAACTGTTCTTTGTCATCCCCTATGTATAGAAATTTTTAAAAGAATGTAATACAGTAATGAAATCTATTATTTAACAGTCCAAAGTTTTATTCTAGGTCCATTCAGGTAGCTGAATGAGGCTGCATTTTTATTTGTTAATACATTTATGAGTAACTTGGCCTGTTGATTGTAGTGTTGACTAAATCCAGCCTCCCTGTTCAAATGAAGTGTGCAACTGATTAACACATAATGAAATAATCATTCTTATGCTTCTACTTCTGAGATCCCAACGGCTTCTACTTACATTGCCTGTAGTCTAAATTAGAAACTTTGGAATTCATTTGTGCATGAAGATATTTTCTTTGTAGTAATTTTTATACCTCAGTTTTTTGTATGCCTTCTCAATTATTTCCCACCGAGAAGTCTGTAGAGTATGTTTCTCGACTTGTTGTGAGGCTGAAGTCCAATAACTATAGACTAGGTTAGGCAATCTTAAAGAGGCAAGGGCACCAGATTAGCACCCTCCCTTCTGGAGACCTTGGGGAACCACAGCCCTCATTACGCCGACATTGCTCAAAATAAATTCTTTAAAATGAGAACTGGAGTCAATTGGGACACAGTGGCTTTCTGGGATCAAAATGTTTTTTTCTTTTTTCTTGGAAAAAGAATATAAAACAAAATGACCCCTGGGGAGCTGTGTGCACTGCAGTATAGACTATATACATGCCAGTGTGAAAGTTAGTCCCTTTGATTACAAGGGATCTTAGATTCCTCGCCTTTGTATAGAAAGATTGAGTAGCACATGCGTCTCCAGATGTTTATTGACTTCTTTTCTTTAAATCCTGATGAATTATCATGCTGCTAGGCTTAATGGTAGCCAGAGTACAACAAAATCCAGGGGCGGCTCAACCCATTACGCAAAGTAAGCATTTGCAGTATAGTTGATTGTGCCCAGGGGCGCTCTTGAGGTGCTCTTGGGGGAAAATAGACCTTGGCATATGTGAGTTGTAGTTACTGGGATGTACAGTTCACCTACAATCAAAGAGTTCCACCAATGATGGAATTGAACCAAATATGGCACACAGAACTCCCACGACGAACAGAAAATATATATCAGTGATTGGTTGGGGGGGGGGGCAAAATACTGTTTGCTTACTGTTGAAAATTACCTACGGCCGCCTCTGACAAAATCTAAAAGGCCACAAATTAACACCTTGATGTCAAGGAGAGTGAGCAATCTGCAGGCTCCCTGTAGCTTTCTGCCCATTTCTTTGCCTCACAAAACCTCTTCTCCAAACTCTTGCCCCTCCATGATCTTAGACAGGCTCCTAGAAACCTTCAAGAAGTATGCTTCCATGCCTGATTCATTGCCATTTTAAATAGAGCTGTGTTCTGTGTAGGAAACATGTGCCATGTATTGAAAAGGCTTGTTTTTGTGTGTAGAATAACTTCTGAACTTTGAAATTCTTGCCTTTTGGGCATTGCCAGTGTTTTCTGATACTCACAAAACATTTTCTTTTCATGATTTTTGAATATTTTTCTAATGTTTTAGAATATTATTTCCCTTTGACACTTTTTGATTTCTTTTACTATTACTGAACTAACAACCTTATATACACCATGATCTGGTACATTTCGATTGATTATGTATTGGACTTTCCCTGTCCTCTAATATCACTTATATATCCAGTACTTTTTTACAGCATATAATTGTGGATGTGAACCAGGAGTTTGCAGGTGTTTCTGCCTTTCTTTGCCAGCATTATGCTTATTAGATGCTTTTGTTGTTCAATCCAGAGCAAAGTGACAGGAATGGTTCTGGGCCCAGGTTAGGCCAACAATTTCCTTGACTAGCCAAAATTTTTAAGCTGCCCTTTTTTTTGCTCTTACGTCACGATACATGAGAATGACTGGTCTTTCTCAAATCTGTTAAGTCAGCTGTGCAATACCTTGTAATAAAATTAATTACTGAAAGTATCAGTAATCTTCATAAACTGGATCAACCCATAAACCTGTTAAAAATAGTAGAAATAGTAGAAATAAATGATTTGTGATAGTATTAAGTTTTCATATTCAAAAAAATATTTAATAAGGACCCAATATAACTATTTTTTTCTAGCAGAATGAAAATGAATGGGCTTCTTTGACTTCAGAAGAAGAAATAAATAAAGATGGAATTAAAGAACTTATAAAAATCATATGGAGATAGCAAAGCCCCAGTGTACCTCTCAATTATACATGCATTTCATGTTTTCTCTGCTTGTGACATGCAGTGATGGCAGAGTGAAATTCTTTATCTGTGAAGATCAGAGTTGGCAGCTGTACTGCATTACAACTATAAAATAGTTCTAAAGCCTTCCTGATTTGAGGAAGAATATTTATTTGTCTGATAGTTATCTGCAAAACATAATGATGACAAGTTCATTTTCTTCCCCTTCCTTTCCCCTCCTCCTCTTTAAATTTCAAAGTGTAATTACACATGGCACAGAGATGGCCAAATGGATAAAACTATAAAAGTATTTCAGATAACACAGTGCTTCCATTACTACATCAAAGCTCCCTAATTACAGTAAGCGCTTTTGAAGTGGTTATTGTTTTTAAAAAGAAGATATTAGCTAATTCAAGATAGCTTCATTGAAATGCATACTGTGATACAGGATTAGTAATAACAGCAAGATTCTGTGGGGTCATTTACAATTTTAACCACTAGAAGACTCCTTCTGAAAGGCTTTTAGATTGCAAACGTATTGCTGAAATGTTATCTCTCTTTCAAAAATTTAATGGTAGGGAAGGCATACAAATGTTTTATATGGATATAAGGTGCATTTGTTTAGTGAACTAATCTGGACACATATCAATATCCAGCTATTGACACCATGATATGGAAGGGTACGAGTCACAACAGAGATTGCTGTTTATGTACAGTGCAGAAAACTCCATGTCATACAGAAAGATTTTTAAAATTCTGGAAATGTTGATGACACAGAAAGCCCTACACTTAATTGCCGCTCCACATTTTTGGAGAGAAAATCATTCATTCACTCATTCATTTCCCATCATTTCCTAAAACCTAGACAATTGGGGAGCATACACAAATAGATTCAAATAAATATTTGCATTGTATGAAATGTACAAATGTTAAAATATAGTGTCAGTAAAAATAGAAGCTGTTTAAAACCAATTCATTTAGAAAACAATTATTAAGAACTTTATTTCATAATAAACAGCTGGTTATAAAAGGCCAGATGAATAGTTCAGATTTTTCTATTTTCCTTCACAATTCCAACCTATATAGCCCTAAACAATTCGGGACCTGCCTATCTTCACGACCACATCTTCCCCTACTAACCTGCATGATCTTTAAAATCCTCTGGGGAGGCTCTCCTCTCACTCCCGCCCCCATCACAAGTGCGGCTGGTGGAGACAAGAGAGAGGGCCTTCTCGGTGATGGCCCCCCAGCTCTGTAACTCTCTCCCCAGGTTGGCACCCACCCTGTCCACTTTTCGTAAAGCTCTAAAATGTGGTTGTTTCACTGTGCCTTTGATTAGACAGTTCCCTGGATAATTTTGGCCCCAACTTTGACCTAAGATCTAGTCCTTGCACTTTACTACTGTCCCCTGCCCCAGATATAGTGTTATACTGTGTATTGCCTTTCTAATTCTAATTCTATCATTTGACTTTTGCACTTTATCCAACAGCCCTATCCTTGCAACAGATTGCACCAGCCCACCCTCCCGAGCCCAGTAAATGTTTACTATATCAGGCTATTGGTTGTTTGCTCAATGGTTATTTTTATACTGTGTTATTATGTTGTTTGCTTTATATTGTTTTATGATGTTCTTTTATGAACTTCATTGCGATATTTTAAACTATGGTGATTGGGCTTGTCCCCATGTAAGCCACCCTGAGTCTCTTCAGGAAGATGGAAGGGGGATACAAAAATAAAATGTTGTTATTGTTGTTGTTGTTGTTGTTATCTACCACTGTTTTATTGACAATATTTGGAATCTTGCAGGTATCATCAAAACAGCACTTCCAAACATGGACCGAGAAGCAAAAGACCAGTACCTACTTGTCATACAAGCAAAAGATATGGTGGGTCAAAATGGAGGTCTCTCTGGGACCACTTCTGTCACTGTCACCCTTACAGATGTCAACGATAATCCTCCTCGCTTTCCCAGAAGTAAGTGTCTTTAGGTGTATTTTCCACTGGCATCAAAAGTGTTTAATTTAAAGCATTTTGTCTATCTCCTCCCAGCCCACAAGGACTTCCAAGATAATGACCAAAGAAAAAGCAATTAATCGAATACAGAGGGAAAACCCCTTTTTAAAACACATTAAAGTGTTTTAAAAATATCCTGCTAGAAGTCTAAAAACAGTTAAAACTGTGATTTTGAACACAGAGTGCCATACAGAACAACATACAGTCAACTAGAGGCTTAAAAGAGATGGAGCATACTAAGTTGCATTCCCCAGATAAGGCGTTGCTACAGAGAAAGTCCTGTTACATGTACCAACCAACTGAATTTCATGAAGTTTTAAAACACAGCAAAAATGTCAAATTTGTGGCAGGATCATATCAGAGATGATCTTCTGATATCCTAGCCTTAAGTTATGTAGGGCTTTGTAGGGCAATTTTGGTGCCTTGAATTCAGTTTAGGAAGCAATTTAGAAGTCAAAGGAGTTCTTGCAGGACCAATGTTATAATGGTCTCCAAAAGGCACACCTAACGCCAGACATGCTGCTGCATGTTGGACTAAGTGCAGCTTCTGAACAGGTTTTTGAACACAGTTCAATGCAGTCTACATTACAATAGCAATAAAGCATAAACAATTTTGTTAGCTATCTCCTAATAATTTTATGAAATATATGTGATCAACTGTTCACGTGAAAACCATATGCTTAAATTTTGAGTTATTTTGGTTAATCTTGATGATAGGTCCTCATTCTTTGCCCTGTTGTACATCTAGACTGTAGAATTAATGCAGTTTGATACCACTTTAACTGCTATGGCTCAATGTTATGGAATCATTGGAGTTTTAGTTTTGCAAGGTCTTTAGTGTCTCTGCCAAGGAGTGCTGGTGATTTCAATAGCATTTAGCCATGAAGTATCAAACCTCATTAATTATGTAGTGGAGAAGCAGATTGAGCCATTCAAAACCTGAGTCTACAGGCATATTTCTGTTTCTGTTTGTAGCACATTGCAGTCCGGCATAAGAAGGTGGGTATGGAAATGGCAACATAGATAGAGACTAACAAAATCCAAAACAAATCTGAGTTGTTCTTTGCATCCCCACTCTTTTCCCGCTTTTAAGTTATTCCCCTCTGGCCATTTTGTCAGTGATTGCAATATAACTGCTCTAGTCTTCAGTTCGGAAGCTTCTTAAAAGTTTTGTAGCTGGCAGAATTTGGACCAGTTTATACATAAGAGACCTAGTTTATCTCAACCAGAGTCATTACCTTTACAGTCCTTTAGTGTGGGGATTTAAGTCTTATTGTAATTTCTTTTCATTGCTGGTCTGTCAAGATTTCTTGGATAGACATTGCCACCTTCTGCCTTATACATCTGTACCTTCTAAAGTGTTGTGTAAATGTTACAAGTGTTTTTATGTACATAAATGCCGGTTTGCTGTTTAAAGTTGGTTTTTCACCCAAGTTGATGATCAAAATATATCTGTTATTAATGGAAAGAGAAAAGATGTGTCCTGGGTAGCTTCTTCTAATCTTGTGTGCAGTTCACATTGTTCAAGTGTCTGTCAAATGCTCGTCTGCCTCCCCACCCGCTTCACATATGCACAGTGTTTCATAAAAAATCAATCTGTAGAGAACCAGAAAACAATCTGCCCTCAATTTACTTCTTTTGACCGAAGTGGCTCATGACTAAACTAAGAAAGAGAAAGAAACAAGTCTATTTCTAGACATGCTACCCTATTTATAAACAGTTCCCTCGTCTTGCTGTTATCTTTCTTTTAAAATCATTGTAGGAGTGAATTAAATTAATGTGAGGAACATATGCCTATCCACTCTGGTCTCTTTGCAAGTGGGCATGACAAAAGTAAACCAATCAAAACTAAGAATGGGAATTGAGGGTTTTTTCGCCTTTGAATAATGTTTGTAATAGTAGAGTACTATGAAATCAGCTCTTAGAAGTGAGAAGCTACAGCCCACAGCTCTTAAAAGCTAAAAACTGTATCAATTTCAGATTGAGCGGTAGGTTTCCTTTTCAAGAAAGAAGAAAGATGCCTTTATGAGAAAAGCATTTATCTCAATTACTTTTTATAAAGAGTCAAGGAACGATTGCCTAAAGACACAATTAGGTCTTATCTGTGATCTTAGAAATGTATTTATTATTTTCTATTTATGACAAGAGACATACACAAAAGAATTTGGCATTGACTGTTCTGCCCTGGCTTTTAAAAAGTCAGAAAATGTATTATTTTAACTTTCTGTATTTATGGGTCGATACTTGGAGGGAGCCCCCGGTGGCGCAGTGGGTTAAAGCACTGAGCTGCTGAGCTTGTTAATCGAAAGGTCACAGGTTCTATTCCGGGGAGCGGCGTGAGCTTCCGCTGTCAGCCCTAGCTTCTGCCAACCTAGCAGTTCGAAAACATGCAAATGTGAGTAGATCAATAGGTACCGCTCCGGCGGGAAGGTAACGGCGCTCCATGCAGTCATGCCGGCCACATGACCTTGGAGGTGTCTGCGGACAACGCTGGCTCTTCGGCTTAGAAATGGAGATGAGCACCACACCCCAGAGTCAGACATGACTGGACTTAATGTCAGGGGACTACCTTTACCTACTTGGAGGAAGGGATATAACAAAAAAATGAATTTTGTGAATAACGTATTGTTTCATAGCTGATATCCCAAAAATTGATCAGGGATCTCTCTGTGGGCCCATCTACATGGGCCAGATAAGGCAGGGCAGGACAGATAGAATTCATAGCATTCACATGATACACAAAACTGATTTGCCCTAATGTTGCCATGGCTACTTAATGTGGCGAAAGGGCCCCACATTAAATGAAGTCAGGGATGCTCAGAGCTCCCTCAAAGCTTTGGGCCTCACCTGCATTTTATGACAATATAAACAGCTGGGCTGGTTCTAATTTGGAAATGGTCATGACTGTTCACTTCATCATCTCACTTTCCCTGGTTTAAGACAGCTTTGCTGTGGGGTGGCTTTACCCTTGTGACCTCTGCTTAATGGTGACCCCAGGGAGCAAAGTTGCTAAAGATCGTAAATTGTCACATGCAGCACTGGTTGGATCACCAAAGCGATTGGAGAAGGGTGGGAGGGAGAAAGGGATGGTTCCTCTTTTCCTCCCTCCTCTCTCATATTCTGTTAATGTGGCAAACTATGACTACCACCAATTTCACATCCAGTGGTCACCACTAAGCCAAGGACAAAAGGAGAACAGTATAACTGTATTCAGCTACATATTTGTATGTGTTTTCATTAGCTAAGTAATTCTAGTAATTAATTTAATACATATACATATTTATATGAAAATCCAATGACAATTTTAAATTTTATAGGATCCTATCAATATAATGTCCCAGAATCACTACCTGTGGCATCAGTGGTGGCAAGACTAAAGGCCGCAGATGCTGATATGGGACCTAATGCTGAAATGGAATATAAGATTGTGGACGGTGATGGCTTGGGAGTGTTCAAAATTTTAGTGGACAAAGAAACACAAGAAGGAATCATTACAATACAGAAGGTAATTTCAAATTCCTTATTTCCTGGAGTTTTTTTTTTAATAATTCAAGTAAGATCATTTGTTTCTCTGTAGAAAAAGACTATGCCTACAAAAACATGGATATGCTTTATTCAAGAACACTTAATTACTCTGGAAACCTATTTAACCTGTTAGAGGTTTGATATACACATAATAAGCTCTCTAATAATTCAGCTCTGCCTCCTCCAAATCTCCCTTCTTGGCTCTGATGGGGGGAAAAATAGGTACTTGGAAGAGAAAATCCAGTATTCCACCCATCTCTGCTGCCTTCCTCATTGTAATTATCATTCGCTCCTTCTCCTCCATCATGTTTTCTGTTTTCTTTTTTTCTAGTTGGAAGTAGGAGTAGCAGTAAAGTTGATAAGGGTGGGAGGGTTCCCGGACTTTCTGCCTCCCTCTCTCCTTCTTGTTGTTCATGTTAGAGTACTGTTGGGAAAGGTTACAATACCAAAGAGAATACTCAAATTGTATAGGAAAGCAAAAAATAGTTATACAATTTTTCCCAATATTTGGATTAGATTGTTTTCTAGCAACTTTATTTTGCTAATTTTAATCCATTTAGAAGAAGAAAAACACAAAAAAAGGTTGAAGTGTTATCTCTTTACTTCTAAATTAGTAACTTTAATATTGTGTGATTTTTTAATTTTTGTATCTTTAACATCTAATGTTGCTTGTGTATGCTCTCTTCCGAAATCAGCAGGCGAGCTATTTAAAAAAGCTCACAGGCATCTTGTTGATTTTAAAGACAGGCAAGTCAAACTTACTGAAGAGAGAGAACTGAAAGAAAAAAATCTTTAATCCAATAAAAGAACTTTTAAATCAAGCTTTAGCTTTTTCAAAATTTACCATATAGGTATTTTTTTTTCTAAAGAAAACTGAGGGTCATAATCTCAGTTTTGTTGAGTTGGGGTTGATGTTTTTATATGTGTATGTGTTTTATTTTATTCTGTTTTATACTTTGCTTCATTTTTATGTTTGTTTTTAGGCACTTTGTGCCATCTGTAAGCTGCCCCGAGTCCCTTTGGGGAGATGGTGGGATATTAGAATAAAGTTATTGTATTATTAGTTAGACTGCTTCCTGTGGAAAATAACTGTACATAAATGTTCCTCCTCCCCCTTTTTTATGCGGATGGCTTACTTTTTTAATTTCCTTTGGACAAAACAAAATGCTCACTGTTAAAAAAAGAAGGAAAAAGCCTGAATGGATGAGGCATAGGATCTAATCAGATAACACTAATGCACAGATATTAATGAAGCTGTCAAGCTCCATTCACTGAACTGAAGGAAGCACTGAAGTATGCATTGTCCTTTTAACCTTCAGGGCTGTTGTAGTGATTTTTGAGATGTTTTGCTTGCTATTTCAACTCAATCCCATACTTTAGTCATAACAATGAAGGGATAATCCAAGACCAACTAAATGATGATTGCTATAAAATAAACATCAGTGCCATTGGATTCAAAGTGAAAGAGAGAAGCCGATGTGGCATAGCATCTTTTATAACCCAAAGGATTTTCACTAGTTTCACATAAGACTTTTATTAACCCTGGATTTTATAGCAGTGCTATATATGAGAAAATCAATAAAACTTAAAAAGAAAAGGCTTTTAGACCTCATGATTTAATCCAATGGTTGAAAGCAAGAGCCCTATCAGAAAAACTAAGAATGTGCTACACTGTAGAATAAATACAGTTTGACAGCACTTTAACTGCCATGGCTCAATGATAGGGAATCATGAGAGGTATAGCTTTAGAAAGCCTTTAGCTTTCTCTGCCAGAGTACTAGTGTATCCAAACTATACATCCTTAGATTTCATAGCATTAAGCCATGGCCATTAAAGTGATGTCAAAGTGTATTATTTTTACAGGGTAGAAATACCTGTTTACATTTATGCAAAGGAGCTGCAATTCTAGTATCAACTAGTTAAGTCTATCTATCAGCTCACAGTCAGCAGCCCCACATATAGCGGGAAGAAGCTAAAATGGTATGTTGTACCATCCACTTAGCGTCAGTAGTTCAGGAGTCCCCATATTTCGGTAGATGGACATTGCCTGAAGGAAGAAGAAGCTGCTAACAACCATTCCTTTAGCTCTGCCCCCTCAGTTAAATTGAACTCACTGGGAATATTTCCATGCTGGATGTGATTGGCTGCATTTTTAGGGAGCCAAGAAGACACATACTGCATAGCCCAATGATTTCTTCTGTCACCTGTCCATAATAGACATTTTTGGTTATTTCATAGAGATGTTCTTACGTGGTATCCCATTGATGTCACATTCTGACAATGTCCTGTTCATTATTCTTCTTACCGCTGATAAATGGTTTTGATTAGGAAATCTTGTTTGAAAATGAAAAAGTAGAGTGTACTATCCCACTCTTATCTATCTATCTAGTACTAGTAGTCCCCTGCCACACGTTGCTGTGGCCCATTCTGGTGATCTGGAAAATAAAGTAATGAGAAAGTGTTGGTTTCTAATATATGTAATGTCTTTATGCTTGTGGGTAAACAGTATTTCTTGCTGTTTCTTTGTCAGTGTTGATGTGGAGAGTGTCTGGTTTGCCTACTCTGGAACATGCAACATATCATTGTCCTTCTTTAGGGGTCCCTTTCAAATCTTTGATACTGCATCTGTCATATACATATATGTGTGTGTCTGAATGGCTGGATGGCCCTTTGTCAGGAGGGCTTTGATTATGTTTTCTTGCCCTGGTGAAGGGAGTTGGACTGGATGGCTTTAAGGCAGCATTTCTCAACCTGGGAAGTCAAGACCCTGGGGGGGGGGGTCACCAGGGGGGTGTCAGAAGGGTCACCAAAGACCACCAGAAAACACAGTATTTTCTGTTGGTTGTGAGGGTTCTGTTTGGGATGTTTGGCCCAATTCCATCGTTGGTGGGGTTCGGAATCGTCTTTGATTGTAGGTGAACTATACATCCTAGTATCTACAACTCCCAAATGTCCAGGTCTATTTTCCCCAAACTCCATCTGTGTTTATATTTGGGCATATTGAGTATTCATGCCAAGTTTGGTCCAGATCCATCATTGTTTGAGTCCATCATTGTTTGAGTCCACAGGTCAATGGCCACCAAACCCATTTAGTGTTTTCTCTTGGTCATGGGAGTCCTGTGTGCCAAGTTTGGTTCAATTCCATCATTGGTAGAGTTCGGAATGCTGTTTGATTATAGGTGAACTATAAATCCCAGCAACTACAACTCCCAAGTGACAAAATAATAAATGTTTGAGTGATGGTCACTCCTTGTGTTGTTGCCAAATTTGGTGTGATTTCGTTCATTGGTTCTTTTCTTTTTAAGGTACTCATTATGCACAAAGCATTTTGATAGATAGATAGATAGATAGATAGATAGATAGATAGATAGATAGATAGATAGGGGTCCATTGTGTGGTTTTAAACATTATTTTTGTTTTGTTTTGTTTTTTAGTCTTTTAGTGTGCACACCCTCAAAAGAGTCTGGAGACTCTCCTTTTCAGAAAATGCTCCATATACAGAAAGTGCTGAAAATGGAAAAGGAGGGTGTTTCGCACTTTTTCCTTCTCACATATTTATTTCCTCTATCCTGAGACCATATGCCTAAAGCTTAATCCATGCCCATTTCCAATTCAAGGGAGAAAGAAGAATCGATAAATGGTTAGGGACTGTAAATTAAAGATGTGTGTTCTGAGCCAAGTGACCATTATGGTACAGTCAGCAAAGTCTTGCCTTCTTTTGTATTTTAATTAGGAGACTTCAGACAAAATGCTTTAAATAGTTTCCTTTTATATTTTAGAAGACATGACTTATAATTTATTTTAAATCATGCTTTACTTTTTTTTCCTGCCAGCTGATTCTGTTGTTACATTTTTTTAACTAAAAATGTGTCTGTTCACATATAGCACATTATTATTTTATCACTAGAGTTTGTTCTTAAGATCAAGGACATGTTATTGCCAATAAATTCCACTTTTAAAGCAAACATAATCCAGTAGACTTGAATCTACTTGATATCTTATAGCCTCCAGATATTGTTGGAGGCAAATTGCAACATTTCTCACTATCAGCTATTATAACAAGAGCTAATGAGAATTGCAGTCCAACAACATCTGGAGTCTATAGTTCCAATTTTCAGTATAATATAGATATTTAATGGTCACTAATTAAAAAAAATAGCTCCCACTGTTAGCCCCAGCTTCTGCCAACCTAGTAGCTTGAAAACATGCAAATGTGAGTAGCTCGATAGGTACCGCTCTGGCAGGAAGGTAATGGCACTCCATCCAGTCATCCCAGCCACATGACCTTGGAGGTGTCTGTGGACAATGCTGGCTCTTCGGCTTAGAAATGGAGATGAGCACCAACCCCCAGAGTCGGACATGACTGGACTTAATGTCAGGGAAAATTTTTTACCTTTTCGTTAAAACAAATCTTGGCACCCTTTAATTTTAAGTTTCAACCTTTTAGAAAGGCATACGTATTCTTTGTTAGAATGATCCCTTGTGGAATGAATACGTTTATTATTTGTGTTAATACCAGAGATAATAATAGAAGCTACTGTTCTGTATATACTTACCTGACATCCAGGGTCCCCTGAAATCAATGGGACTTTTAACTTAAATGTTTAGGACTAAATTATAAGCCTCCAATTTGTAAAATTCAATTGGATGTAATGTAGTTGGGTTTTGCAATTGGGTTCATATTAAAATAATCATTTATGGAAGGAAAATAACTAAATATAGTTTTAAATGTGACCTGGTTCAGAGTACCAAAGTACATTTTTTCCATTAAAAGTCATAAAATAATTCTTGGTTATCAAATTATGTCACTGGAAAAGAACTGTCTCACACACTGCCTTCTATAAACTAAAATGGGTAGTCTCTCTTCTATCCTGGTTTCCATACTTGTAATTCTATCAGACATTTCAGAATCAATTGTTTGCTTAATTATTTCAAACCTGTCTGGACTATCAATTCTAAATATTTTTCCATGTTTTACCCATTTTAATCATGTTTTTATGTTTCTTTTTCAACTTTTTAAAACTAAATGTTTTAGCATATTTTAGCCTTAAATTATTGCAAATTGCCTTCCATCCTATGTTTGATTTTATATGTTTGATTTTCCACAATCTGGGACTTTATTTATTTATTTATTTATTTATTTACTGTGCTTATATACCGCAATTCTCAGCCCTTTAAGGGCGACTCATTGTGGTGTACAACATGAAAAAACAAGTGCAAATACAAAACATAGTGCAAAACAATCCACATCATTATCAGAAAAACATCTTATCAAAACATCAACATTACTACAAAAATTCCTACTACATTCCGAATCGTCTCATCGTCAATCCACAATCCAATATCATTTCCGTTGTTCCATTCCTATGATCAAATTACCAGTCATTGCACTTCTTGGTCAAATGCCTTCTTAAATAGCCAGGTCTTTAACTTCCTGCGGAATATCAACAAGGAGGGGGCTAGCCTGATGTCCACGGGGTGTTCCACAGCCGAGGAGCCACCACCGAGAAGGCCCTATCTCTCGTCCGTGCCTGTGACGCAGGCGGGATCGAGAACAGGGCCTCCCCGGAAGATCTCAAAGTCCTCGTGGGCTCATAGGCCAAGAGGCGGTCAGTCAGGTATCTTGGGCCGGAACCGTTTAGGGCTTTATAGGCCAAAGCCAGCACCTTGAATTGAGCCTGGTAGCAGATCGGCAGCCAGTGGAGTTGGTACAGCAGGGGAGTTGTATGCTCCCTGCGTCCCGCTCCTGTTAGTATCATGGCTGCCGTACGCTGGACCAGTTGGAGCTTCCGGGCCGTCTTCAAAGGCAACCCCACGTAGAGAGCGTTGCAGTAGTCTAGGCGGGATGTAACCAGAGCGTGGTCTACCGTGGCCAAGTCAGACTTCCCAAGGTGCTGGCGCACGAGCCTAAGCTGTGCAAATGCTCCCCTGGTCACCACCGAGACCTGGGGCTCCAGGCTCAGCAATGAATCCAGGATCACACCCAAGCTGCGAACCTGCGCCTTCAAGGGGAGTGCGACCCCATCCAGCACAGGCTGTAACCCTATACCCTGTTCGGCCTTGCGACTGACCAGGAGTACCTCTGTCTTGTCTGGATTCAATTTCAATTTGTTCACCCTCATCCAGACCGTTACAGCAGCCAGGCACCGGTTCAGGACCTCGACAGCCTCCTTAGTAGCAGGTGGAAAGGAGTGACAGAGTTGGACATCATCTGCGTACAGATGACACCATACCCCGAAACTCCGGATGATCTCACCCAGCGGCTTCATGTAGATATTAAACAGCATGGGGGACAGTATTGAGCCCTGAGGAACCCCGTAATTCATTAATTTCCAGTATTGCTACCCCGTCCTTCTCAACCCCCGAAGGGGGACTCAGGATGGCTTACATTTGGCACAATTTGATGCCATTAAATATAACAAAGCAATATGACAACAATTGAAACAATAAATAGACCATTAATTAAAACAATAAAAACAGTATTAACCGGCGTATCACCGTTCCAGTCAAATTCCATATCCAAAGCGCTATTTATGCCTGCTGTCCAAAAGCCTGGTCCCAGAACCACGACTTCAATTTCTTCCTAAAGGACAGGAGGAATGAAGCCGATCTTACTTCATTGGGAAGCGAGTTCCACAGGCAGGGCGCTACGTCTCTCATCCCCGCCAGATGTATTTGCGATGCTGGCGGGAGCGAGAGCAGGGTCTCCTCAGATGATCTTAAACTGCAAGGCGGAATGTAGAGGGAGATATGTTCAGACAAGTAAGCTGTGCCAGAACCGTATAGAGCTTTATAGGCCGAAACCAGTCAATTGGCAGTCAAGTACAAACATTTTTCATCACTGTGAAGTTAAAAAATATTTTTCGTGTGGACAGCACAACTGCCCCAATGTCCACATGGGCCATTCCCTTTTCTTTGAGCTCAGTGGCTCAGGAAAAGGAGGTGGATTGGAGCCATATTATGTCCATTGTTGCGACAGCTGAATGCAGATCTCCTGGCCATTGCTGGGCACCTTTGCTGGGTTCAGCAAACATGCCCATATAATAAAGGAGAAGGAGGGGGATTCCATAAACATTCTGAAGCAGGTCACCTTAATTATTGACCCACCCTGCAGAGGTTCTGAATTATGCATTTATAAAACTCACAAAGTATAAACTGTTCAGCTATTCTATAGAAAATTACTCAATTCCCAAATCATACCATCCCATCCAGCACAGAAAATGAGATCCAGTTTGTCCAACAACATAAATGAATCTGCACACACTTAGGAAAGAAACATGTCTTGCCAGATGTGCAATCCTGGGAGATTTCCATCAGGGCAATATCAGCATTACCAGCTAAGGGGACTGCTACATCAACCTTGAGAATACTCAGAGACTGTTTCTGGTAAATTCCTTCTCACCACCTCTGGGGAAATGTTCTCCTAAGGTTTCAACATTTCAGAAGACCGTACTTCTCTAGTGTCACCTGGAAAACCACTGAAAAATTAAACTGCTGTGATTTACGTTTAAAAAACCCCCTCTAATATGTCATAGATGAAAGTCATTGGCTCTGACTTGCAAGGACATCAGACTAATGTGAATCCATATTTTCAGTTCTGCTCTGGATTGTTAGGAAATTTGTAGACACTTTCCTTATTGGCTACATTGGCCATGACACTGTGAACTGCAGCGATAGCAACATTAGCAGTAATTTGTCTTACCATTCTTCTTAATCAATCTAATTTACATCTTTGATTGCAACATTAGCAGCAGTTCAACCACTTTCCATTTGGCAGCTTTATATGATCTGAAAATTGTCTCTCATACCTACATAATATGGTGATGATTGTTATGCATTATTGTTAGTTTGAATTCTGTTTAGTCTTATTAAATAATTATCTTTCCCCCTAATTATCCATATAATGTATTCCTCTTAACGTAATAGGAGGAAATTGCTAAGCAAACAAAGTTTTTGATTTAGTATTGCTTTGATCATGTAATCTTTTCTTGATGCTTTAGATTGTTATGTATGCTGAATTGGAAAGGCAGCAGAAGAAATAAATTTGTATTATTGATGTTCCTAACAATATCAACTTGGTAGCATTACATTATTAATACTGGTCCACACTCTTGTTACATCCCGAATAGACTTCTCCAGTATGCTCTACGTGGGGTTGCCTTTGAAGACTGTGAAGAAGCTTCATGTGGTCCAAACGGTAGCAGCCAGATTCCTCACTCGAGCGGCATACAGGAAGCATACAAACCCCCTGTTATGTCAGTTTCGCTGACTTCCAGTCTGCTACCGAGCACAATTAAAAATGTTGGCTTTAGACTATAAAGCCCTAAACAGTTTGGGCCCAGCTTACCCGTCTGAACATATCTCCCTCTATGAACTATCTCAGAGATAAACATAATCTGGGAAGGCCCTACTCTCGGTCCCACCTCCTTCACAGGTGTGGTTGTTGGGGATGAGATACAGGGTCTCTTCATTGGTGGCCCCTCACCTTTGGAACTCCCTCCCCAGCTAAATTAGAGCAGCCCCCCCCTCCTGACCTTCAGGAAGCAAGTATGGTTATGGGACCAAGCCTTTGGTTAAAAGCTTAGTGCAATATGAGAAAATAGAATATTGATATGACAGTATGGAGCTGTCTTGGTTTATGATTTTGGATGGCGTGATTTTAATAATTGTTTTAATACTTATATGTTTTAACTTTTTAAAAGTACTTGTTTATTTTATTGTGTGTTTGTTAAAGGCATCGGATTGCTGCCTACCTTTAAGGCTACCCTGAGTCCCCTTCGGGGTGAGAAGGGCAGGATATAAATGTAGTAAATAAATAAATAAATATTATTCCATCACACAAGTAATTCCTTATAAGAACTATGTAGAACTTTTCTCTTAAAAAGTTCTACAGGCTGAGAATTTATTTTTGGCTGCCAAGTCACATGGGTTTTAATAAGGTTGCCATTTGTGCGGTTGAAGCAGAACTCCATCCGTTCTTTTCAGTAACTTACTCCATTTGGACCTCATAAGGGACTGAATTTTAACCAGTTTCAGCTGTAATGGGGAAATTATGCTGTGTGAACTACCTCTGGCTAGGGGACATATTGGATTTTGGCACAAGATTTTATATATAACTTACCACGGGGTACTTTAGAAATACTATGACTCACATCTATTTACAAATGGAAAATTGTGTTAGCTGAACTTTGGCCTTTTGCTGTAACAAGTTTCTAAACATATTTTTCTTCTTAGGAGTTGGATTATGAGGCCAAGGCAAGTTATACCTTGAGAATAGAAGCAGCAAATAAGCAAGTTGATCCTCGCTTTCTCAGCCTCGGGCCATTCAGTGATATGACAACAGTGAAGATTATTGTGGAGGATGTAGATGAACCACCTGTATTTACCTCACGATTATACACCATGGTAGTGTCTGAAGCAGCCAAAGTGGGCACCATCATTGGAACTGTAGCAGCCCATGATCCAGATGCATCTAACAGTCCTGTCAGGTAATTTTTGCTTTAGGCTTGTGATAATGCTGGCAAATAGCCCTCCAGAGCAAGCTTTTCTTTTTGTGGGAAGGTTACAGTAGATAGCAGGAATTTTCCCCTGACAACTCCTCCTAACAGAAGCAGATCAGTCAGCAGAACCTCTCCTTTAG